GGAAAACTGTCCTGTGATTGCAGTAAATGTTTCATACTGATTGACCCATAATGATCAAGGGGCAGCACAGGATTGAGACAGCTGTAGTCTGCTAGGAAAAGACTCAGCTCTCAGATAACTAATTGCTGTGCCTTCTATTCACAGACGCCCATGTCTCTGGATTTCATAATCAATTGCTCACTTGCACACACTGTAGTTAGGATATTTTTTGCTTTTGTGAGTACTTTTCTTGTAGTACTTTGCCTTTCCTTCATACCTAGTACAAAAATGGATCTTTTATGAGGCACACCATATGTCAGACACTCTGCTGTATACTTCATATATTCATGTGGTTTTAGCAATCCTCTGAATTATAATTGTCCCCTTATTCAATGCGTTATTCAAAGGTGAAGATATAGAATGATCTGCTCAACATTACAAATCTAGGGAGGACACTTTGTATGCTCTGCCATTTCCCTGTTCTGAATGGAATTTTAAAGTGGAAGGAGGGTGGGAGTATACTTGAAATGATTTTCCTGTAGCCTGCCCCCTTTCCCTCTCCTCTGGATTTGATATGGCACTGGCCAGTATGTGTTCAGGAGTCCTGGTGTGGCAGTGCCAAATAATGCGCTAGATTGCAAGTTCTCTTTGAACTGCAAGGTTAGCAGTTCAAGCGCAACAGCTGCTCCTTTGAAACCCTATATAGGGTCACTAGGAGTTGAAATTGACTCCACGGCACTTAACAACAACAACAACAATATGTGCTCCACGCCTATGTTTGAAGATAATTACCAATGGGAAGAATGTGTTTGTGTTCTGAGATCTAAATTCACATTGTGGTTCTTTACTTTACAACAGGAATGAATCCTCTCTGATGTTTAGTCTGTAAGTAAATTATTATGTTATATTTTTATGATTCAATACTTATATCTGAATCATTAGTATAATGATTTCAATATAAATATTGGTGTCACATACAAGGTGGAGGTGTGATTACTAATGCTGGGACTGAACTGTCTCATAATATGTCTCATAACCCTCACAACCTTTCTTCAAATGTTTCAGAAGGCCTCATCTCCATTGTGGTGGTTGTGGCCTCTGTGTGCAGCTGAGTCAGTTCTGACTTAGAGCAACCCTGTTTAGGCTTTCAGAGTCTTTATGGGAGGAGAAAGCCTGAGTTTTCTCCAGCATTGCTGCTGGTGGATTCAAACTGCTGATCTTGCAGTTAGCCGCCCATTACATAGCACACTACACCACTAGAGCTACCCTCGATTTTATCTCCCCCAAGTCTCTTTATTTGAAAGCTGCAGGATAATCTCATGTTTCCAACCTGTCTAGAGCACTCACATGAGAAAGCAGGAAAGAGCTTCCGTATCTGGACTTTGAGGATGGTGTCTCCGGGCCAGGGGGTTGAAGCATTGCCAACGTCGGTAGTTCTCATAAACACTCTTGGAGTTACAGGAGGAGTCATCTAGCGAGGGCCTGGATTGGGTGGTGGCCAGGCCTTCCTCCCTAGAAGAACTATGCAGCCCTGACTGAGATTTCACTTGGGGGAAAATGGAGGCCAGCTTGGTACTAGGAGGTGGAACTTGAAGACTTGGGTACCAGCTTCTCGTAGAAACCAGAGTACCCACAACAGAAGTGGCAGGCATCAATTGCTCCATAGCAGAGGCTGCCACAAATGGTGATGGAGCATTCAAAACAGTCCCACTAGCAGTCCCTGGGGTATTCCGATTTAGTGGGGTCTGTGTCACGATGAAAGTCTGAGGCGCAGGGAGCTCCCCTTCTGCCCTGATTTGGACAATGATGTTACCAGTCACACCATACTGGGGCCAGGGCCTCCAAATCCTGTCACCAGAAGTGGCTTAGGGAAAACAGAGAGCCCCAGAGGGATGCTAGGAGGGCATGATGAAGTCATGAGGGGCAGTGGGTCCTGCTCCCAGAGTGGTTGGTATTGGGGTCTGGGAGTAGGTGGGGAAAAGTGAAGTGCAGTGAAAGGAGACATGGAGGCACCAGGATTCATGGTCATATCCTGTCTCAGCACTGGAGTGGTTGTTGAGACAAAGGAAAAGGGTGACTGTAGGAGGAACAAAGATAACCAGGTTTTAAGTCATTCAAATTCCCTGCATGGTCACTGTGAATCAGAGCCATGGAATCAACAGCTGAGTGGCAGAATGGACTGGGAGAACTGGTGAAGATTGAAAAAGTCTCTGGTGTGATTTTGATGTTGCTTCCGTACAATTGAGTAGTTTCTCAATAGAGAACTTTTGAGAATGTCAACCAGACTCCCAGGCCAACCTATTCACTTACTCTGAGCAACTCTTTTAGGACATTCTTGGCAGACACCTCAGCCAACCTATTAAATGATTTTCAAGACATGGAATGGAGTTGACACCCACTCTTTCTGAAATGCCACTGTGCATGTTCACTAGCAGGGAAAGGACCTTCTCAAGGGGAAGGCATTCTCAGGACTTTCTTGAAGGAATCAGTCTCCAAAAGAAGAGTTTCCCTATTCCCTTCTCAGCCTTTCTTTTCCTGATAACCTTTATAATATCCCTCTCTTTCTTTGTCAACCTCTCTGTCTAATTTGTCCAATCTGTTTTCCCAGACTTCTTATGTAGGATGTCCTAGGAGGTGTAATAGGGGATCTGCTCCATACTCTATTTCTGCTCAGAGAACATGTCTCAGGGTAACTGTCAAATTTAAATTCCCAAGGATTTGAAGGGTGGTGGGAACTCTGATAACAGCCCCTCTGCTGCCACCTACCAGACTTACCTCCTTGTAAAGCCATCTCCACAGACTTAGGTACTGACCACAATTTTATGGCAGCCTCCAACATGAGAAGATAACAAATCCTGGGCTCGGAGTGTGATTGGCTCCAGAAGATGCTCCTGATCCAATAAAACGAGGGAAAATTTTGAATCTAAACAGGAATAGAATTTAGGACTCACGATATTCTATAGCGGGGGATGGGTGAACGGCAGGTGGGAGGGATAGACATTCTATGAAGGCATCTGACAGGCTACAAGTTTCCTTCATAGGACAGTTAACTACACAAATTGTGTGGATTACCTAGAGTGATTTTAAGGTTCTTTTTGATTCACAGCATGAATGCTATACTCTAGACCAGTTCTTATCAATTTTTCTAGATTTGTATACCTAAATTCACCCTGCTTCTCAATTGTAGGTGGTGGTTGTTAAGTGTCATTGAGTCAGTTCTCACTCACATAACCCTGTACAGGATTTCTGAGGAGTGGTTGGTGAGTTTGAACTAACAAGCTTGTGGTTCCAACTGACCTTGTTGCCCAGTGCTTATCCACAGTACCACACTGAGTGGTAAGTCCTTGAATTATTTAAGTGGCACCAGTAAATTGTGAACAAAATTCATTTCTAATGAAGGCATGGATACATATGTTTATTGGTGTTAAGTGTCGTTGAGTCGGTTCTAACTCATAGTGGCTCTGTATAGGTTTTGCAAAGAGGGGCCTGACTAGTAGGATTGAACTGCCAAAGTCCAGTGCTTATCCTACAGCACCACAAGAAAACTGAGTATTTGAAATTAGTATTGTCTCAGCAGTTCCATTTTATTCAGTACGTGTATGCAGTCAATATATGTATGTGTCATTGGTTATGAAGCAAACCTTATTTCCTAAAACTTCCATCCAGTACTGAAAACCATGAGAGTGTAGTATGGCTTCTGTTACTATTGATCTTCTTTCCTTAAAATCTCCACTGTATCAAAGGATGACAGTAACCTCTAATTCCATGACCAGAAGTAAGTTTCTGCTGCTTCTCAGATTATTAGGTTGCACATAAATGTTTGAGTTTTAATTTCTGACGATGACTCTGATTCAATAGTTAAACGAGCATATTTCTTGCATGGCTCAAAAGTCAAATATTTCCAGACATTTTCTTTAGTTACAGCATTTCCCTCTGCATCTTTACCTTGGAAACCAAGTTCTCCATTGAAGAAGAAACTGATGTTTTCTGTTAGTTTTTCATCTTTTCAGAGACACTGTATGTCGCTAATAGTAACTAAGGGAGTACTGTGACTCTGTGGGATAAGCACTGGAATGTGAACCAAAAGGATGGTGATTTGAGCCCACCAGTCACTCAGTGGAAGACCATTTTGTGAGCAACTTTGCCAATGAAGGGAGGCTGGGCAGAACATATTTCATGTGCGCGATGGAAAAGGTACAAGTTTTTATTTTCCCCCATTCTCCACTGATGGCCAGAAGTGTGGCCAGTTCCCACCTTCATCCACCACCAGTGGAGACACTGCTCTCTGGAAATTTGGAGCCATGTGGTTGGGAGCCATGCCAGCCTGATTGGGGGACCAGCTGCACCACTTTGGTGCACAGCTTTGATGCCTAGGTTCAGGTAGTCTCTGTTCCAGACCTACAAAGCCACCAGACCAGCATTTTACCAGTCACCCTGCCCACAGTTCCCTTATGGTCCCAAGAGACACTGAAACCAGCTTCATCAATGGCTCCCATGCACTACTTTTGTACTGAGTGCCCTGAACACAGATCACACTGAAGCCAATAGGATCTCCATTGAGGGCAGGAAATGTGCTATCACATCCCATCCACAACCACTTCATGAGCTCTTTGAATTGCAGGAGACCCTGGAGATTTCTCCTTTCTGGGTCCAACAACTGCACTGTTTGTTTTTACAAATATGATAACCTCACAATGCTGTGAAGAAAGCAGACAAATTTAGCTCACACAAAGAAACAAAAGAAAGGCTCAAACAAATGACCCTTATGCAGAGCCAAAAGATGTTTCTGAGAAACAAAACATATAGAACTAACTGAAAAAGAATTCTAAAGAATGATAATTAGGTACTTCCAAAGGATTAATAGATTTAGGAAAGCAAACAGAACACAATAAAATCTTTAGAAGAATCCAAGAAAACACTACAACAGCAAACAGACAAATGCAAATTTTGAAACAATACAAAACCAGCAATTAGAAATTCAGAAAATTAATACTAAGATATCAGAAATGGGCAATACATTGAAAGAGCTAAAGAGTAGATGTGAAGCAATGGCATCCCAAATTACTGAACCTGAATATAAATCTCTCAATATTAGTATGCTAGAAGAACAATCAGAAAAAAAGAATGAAAAAATCTGAAGAAAGCCTAAGAGTTAGGTGTGAACATCATGAAGAGGAAAATCACAGGTGTTCAGAATTTCAGAACAGAAAGAGAGTAGCACAAAAAAAATTGTCAAAGACTTGTTTCAAGAAAATTTCCTAACATCATGAAAGACAAGAAGATAAGCATACAAGAAGCCAAACCAAATCCATACAGGATAGATTCCAAAAGAAAATCACCAAGACTTAATCAAACTTTCCAAAATCAAAGATGATGAAAGAATCCTGAGAGCAGTTTGGGAAGAATGAATTACCAACAAAGGTGAACTAATAAGGATAAGCTCTGATTTCTCAGCAGAAATCATGCCAGCAAGAAGGCAATGGAATGGCATATACAAAACTCTGAAAGAAAAAAATAGCCAACCAAGAATGAAATACCCAGAAAAGGTGTCCCTGAAATACAGTGTTGAAATTAGGACATATGCAGATAAACAGAAATGAAAGGAATTTATAATGACCAAATCAACTTTGCAAAATGCTAAAGGGAGTTCTTTGGACTGAAAACCAACAATAGCAGTCAACAGCCTGAGATTACCATACACAGTAACAACACCCCAGAACTCAATCCAGATATAGAAGTATTTAAAGTAAAACAAACCTACAAGTCTGAAATTAGGGAACCAGAGATACCAGTGTATTCTGAAGTCAACTACAAAGCAAAATGCGGGAGTAACATAGATATAGAACTTCCAAATGGCAAGGGAGTCAAGTAAATTTCAAGATAAAACAGCCTGTTTTAAGCAGGAAGTAAATTAGTAAATTACAGTGTAATTTCAAAGTAAAATAATATCAAAATATTATCTTGCACATCAAAATAAAAGAAGAGGAAAATCAGAACTATTTAGTTAATATGAACACAACAGAAATATAAATGACAAGAAAACCCACAAACAAAATGAACTCAGCATAGATTATGTGGAACAAAGAATCCAACAGCACTACACACACACACACACAAAACCCACAGAAAAATGACAACAATTAATTCATACCTATTGATAATCACACGGAATGTAAGTGGATTAAATGTACCATTCAAGAGACATAAAGAGCAGAATAGGTACGAAAATAGGATCCTACAATATGCTCTCCTCAAGAGGCATATCAAAAAGATGGAGACAGCCTAAATGCCTATCAACCGAAGAATGGTTAAACAAACTTTGATACATACACACAATGGAATACTACAAAATGTTGACGAATAATGATGAATCTGTGAAACACCTCCCAACATGATTGAACCTGGAGGAATTATGGTGAGTATGGGCAAGTCAATTGAGTGTCGGCGAGTCAGTTCTGACTCAGCAACCCTGTATAGGGTTTCTGAGGAGCACCTGGTGAGCTTGAACTTCTAACCTTGTGGTTCAAATCAACCTTTCAGTCCAGAGCATTAACCTGCAGTGCCAGTCAATTACAAAAAGACAAACATTGTATAAGACCAACATTGTACAGCTTTAAGAAAGATTTTCTTGATAAAAGAAACCATCTATGATGATAACAGAAAGAAGGAGGGAAAGGAAAATTATTAATGGACTACAGCTGGCACTGGAGGCACTCACATATCTATGCCAAGAAATTTGGAAGACAACTATCTGGCCAACTGATTGGAAGAGATCGTATTTGTGCCCATTCCAAAGAAAGGTGACCCAACGGAATGTGGATATCTTCATACAATATCTTTGATATCCT